TAATATTAATCCAGAATTTTTTTTCAAAAACTCATTCCATTGACTTTCAAAATCATTTTAAGCTCTTACACTTTACCTTAATTTCAAAGGATCTTCAGATAATATTGATCTTCATATATTAAGCTGTTATTCTGGTTTTCAGTTTAGATGTCTTTCTACCCAAATTGCCCTTTCGGGTTTTCAATTTGAGTTTTCCTTTTTCTCCCGTTTCAAAGGATCTTCAAATAACATTGATCTTTCCATATATTGAGTTGTTATTCTAGTTTTCAGTTTAGATGTCTTTTTACCCAAATTATCCTTTTGGGTTATCAATTTGAGTTTTTTCTTTTTCCACTATTTTTATTTTTCATTTTTCATTTTTCTTATTCTTTCATTTTCTCATTTTCTTTTTTTTTTTCTTTTTTTCCTTTTTTTTTCACCCATTATTGATATCTCTTTCACATTAATCTTTAGAGTAATGAAGCATGATTCTGTCATTCCATCATGAGCATGCCTTAGTCTAACATATGATCATTCAATTCGAGCATTCACATTAGATCCAAATATACTTTTAAAGGTTGTAATGTAAGCCATGGTGAGGGGTTATGAAAGAAATGGATAAAATAGGCCCAAAATATATGTTTAAAGGGTTCAAAACCAAAGTATCATTTCTAATCATTCAATGGATTTTGGCATTTCTTCTATTCCACATCATTTCACTACTTTTTCTTTTTTTATTCATTTTTTCTCACAAAAAGATTCTTATTACTTTGCCCAAATCATGTATGGCATTCATTTTTTCTCTTTTTTTTTTCTATATTTGAGACTTTTTAGGCTATTTTACTTTTTTACAAGTAGGTTTTTTTCAAATTTTGCCCTCTAGTATGGAGAGTGATCCTTGGGGTTCTTTGAAAAAAAATCATAACAGGCTTAAAATTGGTAGTAATAGATGATTTTATTTTTATGAATGGTAGAAGAAAGATGGCTAGTTTTCATCTCAAATGTGGATGCTTTTTTTGAAGACCATATTTTGAACAAAGACAAACTGATTAGATACCTCCAAAACATGTATATTTTCATGAATGATATCTGCTCACAGATTTTTTTATTTTGCTCAAATAATCTCCACAGATCAATATGAATGAGCTTTCAAAATTAAATCTCAAAATTATTATTTATAATTGTCCAAACATTCACCATTTGGAATTTGGGAACAGGAATAAAATGTATATGGACAGTAACAAAGAATAATGAAAGAGAAAATATAATGATATCATTAACTTGCCTTTTATTAAAATGATAAAGAATGAAATCTTATTACATAAAAGAAATCTTGGCATTAATCTAAAAGAAATCCAAGCAACTTTTAGCCAGTATCAACATCCTTATCCTTCCCCAAGACTATGCCTCTATGTTATCAAGTGAAAAGTTTTTGCTACCATCTAATTTTTTTGATTCATCGAAACTTACCAAGCCTTTTCGGATCAAATTTGTACCTTATGCTTGAAAGTATGACAAGTTTCTATAGAATGACCCATATTCCCATTATGATAATCACATGTGGCATTAGCATCATACCATTAGGGATAAGGTGGCTTTAATGGTTCTAGAATAACAGGGGATACTAAGTTATTTTTAACTAGTTTAGAGAATAACTCAGTGTAAGTCATGGGGATAGGATCAATGTGTGCCTTATCTTGGTTATTTCAAGATTTTCTCAAACTACCTGCTTGGTTATTAGGCATTAAAGCTAGGGTAGCAATAAGACTAGGCCTATACATGGGTGCTTGAAAAGTTGGTTGGTAAGCTGGTTGTGAAACAGGATGGTAAGAAATCAGTGCAATATAATTAATGGCTGGATAATAGGTAGGATATATTGGCTGTGGGTATGAGTCATAACTTCTGAATTGCTGTCCTTCAAAACTCACAGCTTGAGCTTCACTTTCTACTCTTTTAGACATCCTACCTTTTTTTGTACTGGAGGTCTCTCCTTCATCAAACTTGTCACTCTTAATGGCACTTTTTATCATTTTCATAGAGATCACCATATCGATAAAATTGATGGTATTTCCAATCATTTTTTCATAATATGGAGGCTTCAAAGTACTCATAAATAAAATAGTTATTTTTTTTTCAGTAAGAGGTGGTTGAACTTGAGCAGCTATATCTCTCCACCTTTGTGCATACTCTTTGAAACTTTTAGAAGGTTTTTTTTCACACTTTGTAGAGATAGATGATCTGAAGCTAAGTCTATAATGTGTCGGTATTGGACGATGAATGCCTTTGCCAAATTATTTCAAGACTGGATATGGGTTCAGTCTAATTGGGCATACCACCTTGCAGCTGAGCCAGTGAGACTATCTTGAAACACATGCATCAGTAGTTTCTCATCATGAGCATGAGCAGCCATTTTACGGTAATACATGGTAACATGAGTTACCATGCATTTTGTCTCATTGTATTTTTTAAATTTGGGGACTTTAAATTTTGGTGGGATGATCACATCTGGAACTAAGCATAGTTCAGCTGCATCTATAGAGCCAAAATAATCCATTCCTTCGATAGCTCGCACTTTCTCTTCTAAAAGGTTCATTTGTTGCATGCTCAGGTCTTTCATCACCTTAGAAGTCTTCATCTTCAACCTTTTTTCTTTTAGGATCATCAAAATCAAGGACCTCAATTAGGTCTACTATCTTTACCCCAAATGTGGAGTTAGTGTAACTGTGATATGGCGCTTCAGGATAGGTGTAAGCATATGCCCCAAAAAATGGTATGTGTAGGGCCTGTATCTCCTGAGAAGATTAACCTTGGTTTGGACCAAACCCAGAAGGGTATAAAGGATCCACAATATCTTATCTTTCATTCAGATTAAGGGTTTCTTCTATAAGTTTTACGCTTATACAATTTTTTTAACATTTCCATCATCTTGGTCCACTTTTCTTTTATCTCTTCCTGAGCCTTCTCGATCTTGTCCATACGAGTATTTTGTTCTTGTTCCATTTGCCTTGTTCACGATTGAGTATTATATGAGTGACGCATAGGTTTACTTGAATTTACCGATGGTCGAGCTATCCTTGAACCTTTGATTACCATAAATTACAATGCTTGCATTACTACATGCTCATGTCATGAAGGAGAGACTATAAAAATAATCTTAATATGATTTCAAGCTAACATATACAAAATGAATGCCAAAAATACATGTAGCCCAATGTTATCCTGCTTTAAGTGAAAGAAAAATAGATGAAAGAAGAAAAAGTCAACTAACATGACAATTCATACAACATGACAACAACAATTAATTTTCACTCAAGAAAAATCAATCATTGTAAAAATGTAACTTAGTTATTGGATTTTTCTACGGAAGGGGAAAGTAAGGCTCTAACTACAGGTTAGGTTCCTCATACTTACTATATGTGGTTTAAAGTTGATAGTCTAAAAGTTCTCAAATTGCTCCTTACATCATTATCCATCATAGACTAGTATGCCACTTTAACCCATTATGGGCTGTAAGCGAAAAAAGTTTAATTTGAGTGTGAGTATTTTGCTAGCCATTGTGGAGGTACTACAACCTCACAAAAGCATAGGTACTTTACTCCCTCCTAGAGGGACGGAGCTCGAGTATAGAGCTCATGTTATGCACATGCATATGAATGACATAGTTAGCAACATAAATAAATAAAATGAATGAGAAAAAAAATCCTTACAAAGAATTCAATTTTATTAGGCTTTTTGGATAACATAAATCTATTTGCTGGCCTAATTTTCACCTTATCCCTAGTGGAGTTATCAAACTATCATAACATCTAAATTAGGGACCTATCGCTTGATATTGACTTGAGGAGTCGCCATCAATTTTTTTGTTTAGGTGCGATTGGCCATCTGATTGAATCTGTCATTTCTTAAAGAGAAATCTTAAGTTTGACTTAGTATCTTTAAAAAGTAGATTCTATGTCTACGAAGCCAAAACTAGGTCCGAGAGTACGGTTACATTTGATGAAGGTTATAGTACCTTCATAATGCCCATCGAAAGATAGTACCAGCTCAATTTTGCGTTATCCATTAAGCCTTAAACATTTTATCAAGTAGTTAATTATTGAAAATTATTTTTAATTGACTCCAATATTTTTGGCAGAAAATTAAAAAAATCCCCCCACCTCAAGAGTATACAAGAAAATACTGTTTCTCTTATAGAAGCTCAATCGTTGGATTATTCTACATTAAAAAGTTTTTAAAGGAAAATTGATACTCTCAACCTTTCCTCCAAAAAAACTTTTTTGAAATTTCAAGGAAATTTGATATTTTCAACTTTTCCTTAAAATATTTTTTCTTGAAATTTTTATTTTTAAGAAAAATTGATACTTTCAACTTTCCTTAAAGCATTTTTCTTTTAAAACTTTTGTTTTCAAGAAAAATTGATACTTTTAATTTTTTCCTTAAAAATACTTTGTTTTTGAAATTTTTATTTTCAAGAAAAATTGATACTTTCAACTTTTCCTAAAAAATGTCTTTTTGAAAATTTTATTTTCAAAGAAAATTGATACTTTCAACTTTTCCTTAAAAATAACTTTTGAAATTTTTACTTTTATTTTTTTTGTTCAAATTATTATTTTTAATTGTTAACTTTTGCTCTTAAATCATAAATATGTCCTTAACCTAAATTTAGCAAAATACGATAAGTGAAAAAAAATAAATGTTAAAACTAAAAAAATAAAAAATACAATACCAAATTTTGGGTTGAGATCTAGGTCAACAATCAGTTTAGGTTGATCTTTCTCAGCTTGTTTTGATCACAAGTGGAATCAGGCTTCATTTACTTTCGAATGGGCTGAGCTTTGGCTGCCACTTGGACTGGGTTTGGAACCGGTTATGAGCCTGGCGCACACACAAACAGGCATAGCTCTGTTTCCTTTTAATTCCAAAGGTAGTGTTTCATTGCTGCTGTAAAGGCCATCTATAAAAAGTTATCCATTTGTCTTTTTTCTAGTGCTAAAAAAACCCCTTTCCTTTTTTAACTAGATATGGCTATCAAAACCCAGGAACTAATTGTTACTGTCCCTTGTCGTCGCCATCTACTGCCATTCTTCGCTGATGCATCTACTTCTTTTGGTCATGACCACTGCTACCTTCTATCGTTGCTCACTTTTACTGTTATGTATCTCTCATATTTTCTCTATGATTTTTACTGTCAATTGTTGTTGCTTCTCCATTCATTTGTCTCCCTTTCTAACATTCCCGATCTTCTAAAAGAAAAGTCATTTTCATTGCTCACAACACTTCACACTGCCGACGTCGCCTATTTCACCTTTTTTTATTTTTTTGGTTGTTTTTTGATGGGTTCCTTAATAAAGGACTGTGGTTCTTTTTTTGCGATTTTTGGTTTCGATTTTGGGGAGTGTGATGGATTTGGGTTTTGGTTGAAGCTAAGAAAGGATGGTAGAAGTAATTGTTGGTGGCAATAAGCTTAGGCTGAATAGGGATGGGTGATGTATGGTAGCAAGTGATCTGGGTTTCAGTAGTTTAGATGCTTGGTGAAAATGGAGGCCAAATAGGCTTAGATGGAGGAGCCGTATAGATGTTGGTGGTGGGATTTAGTAGTTTCTGGTGGGATTTACCATGTGCTGTAGGCTTAGATGTTGTGGTGGTAATAGGTTGCTTTTTTCAGTGGAGGCTTGTGGAGGGTGGTCACAGAAGCGTTTGACAGAGGAGGCTATAATCATTCTCAAAAAAATTTTCCCCCTTTTGAATTGCTTCCCCCAAGAACCTTCTACTAAAAAACTTTTATTCTAATTACTCTTGTTTTCCTCCCTCTTTTTGTGTTTCATTTCTGTGTGATTATTGAGATTTATATAGAGCTAGGTACAGGCTAAACCGAAATTTTAAAAATCAAAATTCCTATCTGTTTATCCTTGTTCAAAAGAAAAAACAAGTCCTTTTTCTGATCCTGTTTCCAAAATTTAAACTTTTAATCCTAGAGTTTTACCGAGATTGAAATTATTAATCTTATCTAAAACCCATCGAGAAAACAGATCTAGAAGTGGGTGTCTACACTATGAATTTTAAATTCTTTATAGTTTTAGAAGTATTACGCTTTTAATATATGAAACATAGCCAATTGTAGAAAACAATAATTTTCAAGATAGAAAATGCAATTTTTGTTAAAAATATGAAAAAGATATTTTTTAGAATTGAACAAAAATAATGTTTCTAAGATAAAAAAATACAGTATTTATTAAAAAGATGGCATTTCTAAGATAAAAAAGTTTTTATTGAAAAGATGATATTTCTAATATAAAAAATAATATTTTTAAAAGACATTTCTAAAATAAAAATGCAACTTTTGTTAAAAATGCAATCTTTGTTGAAAAGACAATATTTCTTAGGTACAAATGTAGTCTTTGTTGAAAAGACGACATTTCTAAGATAAAAATGTAATTTTTATTGAAAACATGAAAAATATATATTTTAAAATTGAATAAAAACGACACTTATAAGATAGAAAATATAGTCTTTGTTAAAAATATGAAAAAATTATTTTTCAAAATTTAACAGAGGCAACATTCTTAAAATAAAAAACACAGTTTTTGTTGAAAAGACAACATTTTAGTATTATGAATGTCAAATGTTATCAAGAACAATATAGTAAAACAAAAAAATCTTACCATTTTTTAGTCAACAAAAACCTGGGAATCGCATTTTTTTTTAATATCCCATTCCCCTTAAATCACTTTTCCTCACAAAATTTAAGAATCCATGAACCAAATGCCCTCTTAAAATGTTTTATGGGTTATATTACATAATCATAGTACTAGTTTATGGAAGATTCACTACAAGAAAATGACGTATTAGCAGCAGTTTTGTAGCGACCTTTCATTTACAAACATCGTTAGCTTTCATGTTTTTATAAAACTTAAGGCGTTTATTATCAAAACGCCACTAAATATTCAAAAAATGGTATTGTTACTTATAAATGTCACTAAAGACAAAAAATTAGTGACGTTTATTGACTAAAACGCCTTGAATAATCTTTTCTAAAAAATTGGAGTGATTATTAAAGGTATTTTTTTTGCAGAAAATGCCTTGAATAATCCCTTAATAAAAAATAGTTAGGGGATTATTGAATGTATTTTTTATAGACAATGCTTTGCATAATCCTCTCATAAAAAAAAAAGCAATTATTAAAGGCGTTTTCTGTAGAAAAGGCCTTCAATAATTCCCTTAAAAATTGTAGAGGATTATTAAAGGTGTTTTTGGTCAAAAAATGCATTTAATAATCCCCTTCATTTTTTATGAGGGGATTATTGAAGGTGTTTTGTGTAAAAAATACATTTAATAATCCCTTTTAATTTTTTATGAGGGATTATTGAAAGTGTTTCAGGCAAAAAATCCTTTGAATAATGTGCTCATAAAAAATAGAAGCGATTATTGAATATGTTTTTTGTAAAAAAATGCCTTCAATAATTTCACTAAAAAATTGTAGAGGATTATTGAAGGTATTTTTTTGCTAAAAACACCTTTAATAAATTCCCCAAAAAAGTTGTAAAGGATTATTAAAGGCATTTTTTACTAAAAACGCCTTCAATAATCTCCTTTAAAAAATTAGAAGGGATTATTGAAGGTTTTTTTTTTTTTTTTTTTGCAAAAAACACCTTTAATAATCGCCTTAAAAAAATTAAAGGGGATTATTGAAGGCCTTTTTGGCCAAAAAACACTTTCAATAATCTTCTTATCAAAATTTAAGGGGATTATTGAAGATGTTTTTTGCTTGAAATGCCTTCAATAATCTTTTTTACAAATAGTGGCATTTTTTTTAAGTAAACACCGCTATCGTGAAAAAATGATGCGGCTAAATTTTTTCCCAAAATTTAAACTCCTTCTTTCTTCTCTGTAATTTCTTTTCTTTCCTCATCTTTTTTCTTGGAAGAGAATAGCGAGAAAGAAAATTCAAATCAAGAAGATTGACAACGTAGCAATGAGGCAGGTGACTTTCTCAAAAAGGAGACAAGGACTTTTCAAGAAAGCTTATGAGCTTTTCACTCTTTGCGATGCTAAGATAGCTCTTCTAGTCTTTTCAACCACTGAAAAGCTTTTTGAGTACTCTAGCACAAAGTTGCTCTTACTTATCTCATATTTATATGTGAATGCTTTGCCTTGATTCCTGCTCTATCTCTACTAGTTTAATATAGAAATCTTTGCCTGTTGTTCAATTTAATATGTTGAATGTGCTTGGGTGAGTGTGAGAGGAAGTGAGAAACGTAATTGTTTTGAAACAAAATCTTTTGAATCAAGAAAACTGTATAAAAGTATAAATTCATGGTAACTGAATGTACTTGAATCCTGTATTCTATTACAAAAAGAACTTCTTTTAATAATTTATCAGAAGCTGAGTGGTTTTGGGGTAGGAGGCCATAGTTTCACATGAATGTCTGTATGATATTTGTTGATGCTTATTCGTACTTTCCTAAACCTTGTTTAAGCCATATTTTATGACTAATCAATTGTCTTATAAGAAGTTTATACTTTCTATATATCTTTCCTAGTGCAACGTAGAACAAAAATTGATATTTTACCTTTCATTTTTCTTATCAGAACCTGATCTGCTGTCATTTTGATTTTCTCTCCAACCAAACAGCTTTTAATTTTAGTTTTCTTAATTGAATCTTATTACAATTTCAGGTTTCCTACACTCTTTTTGAATGTTCTTTAAGATTTTCATAATGAAATTTACAAATTCTCATGATTTCCTTTTTAAATTCTGTAAAATTCACGTTGAACTCAAATCTGGTTTCAAAATCGCACACCTGACCTATCTTTAGTCTTTTGATCAAAACTCAATGAATTTTACCTTGATTAACTTCAAATTTTTTCCCTAGATTCCTATTTCATAAGGCTATAATCCAGAAAAATTCAGCCTCAAATTTCATCTATAAAAGTACAGTTAAATCTTTAAAGTTAAGGCTAAATCCAGAAGGTAGAAACTATCCATGCATGAGAACTTGATGAATGATGATCCTCTCTCCTTCTAGGTGTTAGATTTGATTCTCTTATACTTTACATTCTTAGTTTTACATGTTTACTCATTATTTTTTAATTGATTGCATTTATTTTCATGAATTCATTTGGTGTTTGAATAAATTTAGTTGGTAATGCTATGTTTTTCTCTGTTTTAAATATCACTTGAGTTACTAATTCATTAAGCTAGTTTTTCTCTATTTTGCTGCCATTTTCTTGTTGAATTTTCTAGCAAACTTGATTGATGAATTGTAGCAGTTGAAAGGTGTATACTATAGACCTATCAACTTGGATTGGTCCTCTATACTTTTTCCAATTACTTTCTAATGATTCCATGATATAGTTTTTGCTGCTGCTAAGTCTAAAAAAGCATTGATCTCTATAGACATAGTTGTACCATCGGTTCAAGGTGCAGCATAGTTGATTGATCCATTACACAATTTGTATTTCACTCTTGAAACTTTGTTGCATGGTCATTTTATTTTGAAGGATTAGTTTATTTCCCTCTTGAAGCATTTGAATCCATATATTTCTATGAATTTTTTTACAAGTTGAAAATATGATTTGAAATCGTTTATCTTATAAACTTCATGGCATCAAATAATCTTTATATTTTTCCAATGCAATCAAATATGAACTTGATTGAAGATCTATCTCTCAGCCTTTCATATATTCTCCTTCCCTTAAATTATATGGCATTGCGTTTCATGTCTAGCAATTTCATAATGATATATGCAAAATAGAAGAAGGCATTTTCGTGAAATGCACTCAGAGAGGGAGTGTACATCCTTTTGCCTTGTGCATTTATCTTGATCATTGGCCAAAAAATATATCTTAGTTTGTTGCTTTGGTTAAATCTGTTTCTCTATTATTTCTGCATGTATGTAACAGTGAGATCTTGTATAACTTCCTTGATTTTATCTTGCATTACAAATTTTATGGTACTTTTTATAGCTTACCCAGTAACATTTTTCAATCAGGATGGAATATGAAGTTGTGGAGAAAATGAATGAAATGTATTGTGATACATTTCTTACAGCATATTTTGAGGTTCCTGGAGAAATGTTCTTTTTAGCAATGGAATCCAAGAGGAGGAATGGGCATTGTAGGCTCCATTCAAAGCAAGTGCAACTCCTTTCATGGAGTCCGTTGATGGGCAAGAGGAAAACAAATGCAAAGTGGAGTGTTATTGTATGTATTAAACTGTGTTACATGTATATTGAAACAAATTATGTATTTAGATATTTAAATATTTATAATATTCAGTTTATGAATTTAAATTCATTTTTATTTCTTTTAACAATTTTTATTTAATTATAATAAATAATAAAAAAATTTTAAAAAAAGTAAAATTTTTTATTTAGTGGTATTTGATTTTTAAAATGCCATTAAATACTGAATTTAGTGACGTTTGTATTAGAAAACACTGTTAAATTTAGTGATATTTTTACTACAAATGCCACTATTTTCAACATTTAGCGACATTTTTAAATACAAATGCCGTTAAATTAGTGGCATTTTTTTATACAAACGTTACCAATTTAATGACGTTTTTATGATAAAAATATTACTAAATTAACGGTATCTCAAAGATACAAACGCCACTAATATAGCGACGTTTTTCAGATGCAAACACCGCTAATTATAGCGGCATTTTTCATATACAAATGCTAATAATATAGTGGTATTTTTTTCGAAAACGTCACTATTTTTTGCGACACGTGTATAGCCGGTACTTTGAGTGACGTTTTTTGTAAACGCTGTAAATCTTTTAATGACGTTTATAAACATCGCTAAATGTTAAAAAAAACACTACTAAAAACCTAAACCACTGTAGTAATTAGGGTTTAGCTTGATAGTTGGAGAAAGTTTAGGTAGAAATTTTAGGTTTGGGATGTAGAGCTCTCTGTTCAGAGAAAAACAAAAATGAAAAATTAATATTCAATTTTAGTGTATAATAAGGAAAACTCAGTGCTTGTGGCAATGACAAATTTTGGATTTTGATTAGAAGGAGATTATGGTTCCCTTATTCTGCAAAGTACTTTTTAAAGGATATATTTTGATCAATTAGAAAGTTAATGACTTTTCACTACTTGATCTAGTTGTACCTTTGCTCTTACGTTTGATTTCAATCATGTTTCGTAGTAATTTTGAATTCTTTGGTTTCAGTCATTATCGTTAGAAGTATTATGAAAATTAGAGTTTCGCTAGCAACTGCCATTAAGGTGATATCATGAAGAATATTTTCATATTAATTGCAACAGTTGACGGATAATTTGATGATTCTAAATGTATTTAATAACGATATTTCTTTAAATAGTAACCTTGAAAAGTGTCTTTAGGGCCCTCTCGAGCAAAACACTAAAATGATAACAAGAGAAGAAGAAGAGGAAGCATGTATGGCTTTGGTTGGCTAATGGGGCTAATAATATTTTCATTTATGCTTTCTTCTCTCTTACTCTTTCTTTTCTATTTAGGTAGTGAAACTTGCATCCATGATACTTTTTTTGTTCTTAATGTGAAATCTATGAGCACTTTTTGTTTATTATGCTCTTTTATGATACCCATTGCACCCCATTGTTTTTAGATGAACAACAAATGTATCAACCAAAGACTATTCTAGGTTCAAGCTTAGTCCGCAACAACTCATTAGTTCATGGTTAGTATTTAGATTGTGGTAGTAGTAGAATAGATCCCATAGGCGGAGGGAAGAGCCTTACCAACAACCCTAATCTGGCATCAAAGCAACAATTGCACTGGACACATGAACTTCATGAACATTTTGTTGATGCTGTAGCTCAACTTGGTGGGCCAGACAGTGAGTCTCATCATAGATCACCCTAGCCATTAGATTAAAAAAAGAAAAGAAAAATGATTTGCTAAAGGTTGGAAATGATGCTGGCTTTCTGTTGGTGTTAGATTAATGAAATAAGATAATTTTAAAACAAGGAAAAATAATTATCGAAATTCCTAGAAACTTAAATTGTTAGAAGAGTTTCATAACTTCAAGCTTCTCTTTTTCATCTAATCACTTGTCTGTCAAGAATTATCAATATAAACTTTCCTTCATACATTTTGGTGCTCTAGTGGCTTTGTTTTAATATGGACATATTTATGCAAAAATTTCAAATACCTTAAACTTTCACATTTATATATGGAAAAAGTTTATATTGGTGAACAAGTTTCTTTCTTTTTCCCTTTTAGGAGCTACAACAAAAGGAGTATTAAGACTAAGACACAGCTTAGTAGGACTCAGCTCAGCAAGATTGATCTAGTTGCAATAACAAGGAAATGATCAACTTCAAGAACAATTGATAGCAGTAGTAGGATTGACTCTGATCACAACAGAAGTATATTTGCAAGTTGACCTAGTTATCTAACAGTTATCTAAATGTAATCTCAATCTGTGATTGTTGTATTCCTAGATAAGTTGTAGATAAGAGATTAACTTAATCTTAGCTCGATCTCTACACTAAAACTTGTATATATGTAACACTAATATTATTAATGAAACTAAGCTAATTTCACAAACCTTATTGTTTCTTTACATGGTATTAAAGCCTCTATAAGCCTAACAGCAGCAACCTTTCGATCCAAACGGCCTCAATTATCACTGCTTCAACAACACACGGGTTGAAGTTATTTAGATTAATGCAACCACCCAGCTCCCGCTAAAATTGAATAGTAGCGGTTTTCTTTCCTGGTTTCTCCAATTTGAAACTCTTCTTATTGGTCTTGATTTAATAGGATATGTCAATGGCACATATGTAGTTCTACATCGACTATCAGCACCCGAGACAAAACAACCACGAATCCTGAATATGCAAAATGGATCAAACAAGATAAGTTGATCCTATATGCCATCATCGCCTCAAGTGGCGAAACTGTAGTACTTATGACAGCTGCTTCGAAAACCTCCTATGGAGCAATGACAAGATTGACCAACCTGTTTGCAAGCAAAACTAGGTCAAGAGTCATGTATTTTAAGAAAAAGTTATCCTTGTCTACTCAAGGCAACAAGCCAGTGGCTGAATTCATGCCGGTAATGAAAAGTATTGCAGATGAACTAGCTTTGGCTCAAGCACCAGCTACTGAAGATAACTTAATAATCTTTATTCTAAATGGTCTTGGAATGCAGTTTAGAGAAATTTCAACAGCAATAAGGGCTCGAGAAAGTGCAATATCATTAGAGGAATTACATGACAAACTCACTAACTTTGAAGCAGTGATCAAGCAAGAGAAGCTCATTACCACACCTGTTATAACAACCAACATGGTAAGGAAGGGAAAAAGATATGAACAGCAACAAAAAGGTAATAACCCTTGAGGTAATGTTAACAGTAACCCTTATCCTCGCAACAACTACAATTCAATTATGAGGAAATCTAATCAGTTTAGTGCTAGCACAAACAAGCCAACTTGTCAACTATGTGGAAAGTTTGGTCATAGTGCCAAAGTGTGCTGAAATTACAAAATCTTAAGTGTACAAGAATCAGCGGTTAATTTTGCTCAAGTCTCAAGATCAATAAACAATCAAAATTAGGTGATGGACTTTGGGGCATCTCACCATGCCACTACAGATCTTAACAATTTGTCTCCTTACACTGACTATGGTGGTCCTAATGAAGTTCTGGTTGGAAATGGATCAGGTTTGAACATTACTCACATTAGTTCTACACAAATCACCACATAACAAAAACCTTTGACCTTGTCCAATGTTTTGCACATTCCATTAATGTAGAGAAATCACATTTTAGTTTCTAAATTATGCAAAACTAATAAAGTCTGTTGAATTTTTTCCTCACCATTTGCTTGTGAAGGACTTGGCCACGAGGGCAACACTGATGAAAGGATTAAGCAAAAATAGCATTTATGAACTCTCCACTTCCAATAGTTTACCTGTTTCATCCACTATATCAAATAAGCCAAAAATAGTCTTAATCAGTTCAAAAGCAACGGCTAATATAGGGCATAGAAGATTAGGATATCCTTCTTCAATAATTTTGAATTTCATGCTGAAGTCTCTCAATTTAGCCTATGATTCTTCCATAAAAACTTTTGATTGTAATTCATGCCTCTATAACAAAAGTCTCAAACTCCTACTCAATAATTCAAGTTTGTTCAATACTCAACCTTTGCAGGTGTTATTCACTGATGTTTGGGGTAGTCCCTGCATCACCTCAACTAATGGGTAACTATGTAACCTTTATTGATCACTATTCCAAATTTACATGGTTATTTCCTATTCGGCACAAATCTGACATCTTGCATATGTTTCTTGCGTTTAAAGCACAAATTGAAAAGCAATTTGACACTCATATTCTCTCCATTTATTCTGATAATGGTGGAGAATACAAAGCTTTGTCATCATTACTTGCCTCTTGTAGTATTAAACACCTAAACACACCCCCACACACACTTGAACATAATGGAATTTCAGAAAGAAAGCACAGAAATATTGTAGAAATTGGACCCACACTTCTTCACCAAGCCTCAGTGTCTACATCCTATTGGCCTTATGCTTTCCAAAGAGATGTATACCTGATTAACAAAATGTCTACACCGAATTTACAGAATAAATCACCATATGAAATTCTATTTCATACTACACCAAACTACTCAAAACTTAAAAGTTTTGGCTGTCTGTGCTATCCTTGGCTCAAACCATATTTTGATAGTAGACTACAGTCTAAGTCTCAACCATGTGTGTTCCTTGGTTATTCTGTAAATCAAAATGCTTATAAATGCATGGATTTGTCTACTAATATGATATTTATATCTAGACATTTTAGGTTCATAGAGACCATTTTTCCTTATGCCAAATCAGTTAACATTGGTTTTTCACCAAGCCAAATCAGTGTTAACTCGACAATACCCTCTACTAGTCTATCCATTACAATTCTATCTTACTCTTCTGTTCCTGATTCAAATGCTACTGTTGACATCAATGCAACTCCAGCTGTAGATCTTTCATCTAGTAATAACCTTGAAACTTCAAACACTACCACACAGTCTGTAAAACCATAACACACATTGTCACATTCATCACAAAATGAAGCAATCCTATATGAGCCACCAAATACAAACCTACAGCATCAACCATAATCCCTCCTCCTATTAGAACACATTCCATGACTACAATATCTCAAAACAACATCTTCAAACCTAAACAGGTTAATATTGTCACCAAACACAACCTTTTTTTTGCCACTGGAACCTACTGCTGCAAACCAAGCCATCCAAATACCAAAATGGAGAGATGCTATGACAGCTGCATTCAATGCCTTAGTAGAGAATGGAACTTGGACTTTAGTTCCACCTAGCTCTTCTCAAAATGTTGTTGGAAATAGATAGGTGCTTCGAATAAAAAGAAAGGCGGATGGGCTAATTGACAGATTTAAGGCTAGGTTGATGGCAAAAGGATATCATCAAAGACCTGGTTTAGACTTCAAAGACACATTCAGTCCGGTGGTTAAACCCACAACAATCAGAACAGTCCTCTGTATTGCTTTAAAACTTGGATGGCCACTAAAACAATTGGATGTCAACAATGCATTTTCGCAAGGAACTCTAACTAATGAGGTATATATGGCTCAACCACCTACCTTTGTTGACAAAGATCATCCTACATATGTGTGCAAGTTATGCAAGACTATCTACGGTTTAAAACAAGCCCCACATGCCTGGTATCAAGAACCGAGTCTTTGTCTTCTTAACTTTGGTTTCACCAACTCCACTTTAGATGCTTTATTGTTTATATATGCTGAGAATTCTGGCATTCTTTATTTTCTGGTTTATGTTGATGATATTCTTATTACTAGAAACAATCAGCATACTGTTCGCAAGTTTGTGTCTCAACTCTCTCATGGATCCCCTTTCAAAGACTTGGGTCTTTTTCCTTTCTTTTTGGGAATGGAAGTCATTTTCGTCTTATCTGGCATGTTTTTATCCCAACATCAGTACATCATGAATCTCCTAGATAAGTTCAATATGTCTGGTGCCAAGGAAAACACCACACGAATGGCCACTAACAATAATTTGAAACTTCATGATGGCACTAGACCTGCAAATGCTACAACCTATAGACAACTTGTTGACTCACTTCAGTACTTGTCTCTCGTAAGACCTGCTGTTGCCTACTCAATTAATAAACTATCTCAGTTTATGCACTCATCAACTGAACTTCACTGGACTCATTTGAAAAGAATTATGCGATACCTGAAGGGAACTATTAATCATGGTCTGGTTTTTACAAAATCTTCATCTCTTCATTTCATTGCCTTTAGTGATGTTGATTGGGTAGGTAACCTGGATAATAGAACCTCCACAATAGGATTATTTTATTTCTTGGCAATAATCCTATTTCTTGGAAATTGGTTAAACAAAAATCAGTCGCTAGATGCTCCACCAAGGCTGAATATAGAGTAATTGCCAACGCAGCCTCTGAAATACTCTGGTTCAAAAACTTACTAGCGGAACTTCAACATCCTGTCAAACATCAACCCACACTATTTTGTGACAACATTGGCACTACTTATCTCAGTGCTAATCCTATTTTTCACTCTAGAATGAAACACCTTGCTTTAGACTATCATTTTGTCAGGCAAAATGTGCATTGCGGGGAATTCAAAATGTCTTATATTTCTTCTAAGGATCAATTAGTTGATGGACTCATCACTAGCCAAGCAAAGGTTTGTCTTTCTTAGGTCCAAGATTAGTATAGTTGATGGCTCTACTATCTTGCGAGGGCATATTCAGACTAAGACAGCTTAGTAGGACTCAACTCAGCAAGATTGATCTAGGTGCAATAACAAGGAAAGGATCAACTTCAAGAACAATTGATAGTAGTAGTAGGATTGGCTCTGATCACAATAGAAGTATATCTGCATGTTGACCTAGTTATCTAACAGTTATCTAAATGTCTTTACAAGGAGTTCTCAGAGTCATGGGTGTGCAGGGTTTGACAATACCATGTCAAAAGCCATTTAGAGGTATGTAATTTTTTTTTCAACCTAACGAAGATCTTTACTTATTTATGGACATGGTTGGGAGTTACCCCAGAGGGAGTGAAGTTTCTGTTGAGTGGTTCATGTAACATTCCCCATTATTGTCTATGGTTTTTGTTGACTTCACTTTTGTGATGCATCTAAAAATATCAACTTGCGAAATATCTCCCTGATTCTTCTTCTGATGGTGGCTTTATCTTTTTTTTTTTTTAACTAATTTTTATATTTTATGTAGACATAAACTGGTTTTGTTAGAATTGTTCTCTGCCCATTAAGTTCATCCTTCATGCTGCGTTGAAATCTTCATGTTCATTATAACTCGATTTGTTTTGTACAAAAATTTTCTTCTTAATATTGCTTCTTATTCTATTTGTTACTGAAGTTAAAAAGCCTAACAAGAAAGAAACTGGGGATATGCTTTACAATTTGGATGGTTCATCGTACGTGAAGCTGCAGCTTTTTCAGTTCGTAAAAAGCCTGACAAGAAATAATCTCGATTTGTTTTTTTTTTTTTTTAAGTATCATATTTCATATATAATCACCAATTGTCAGAATAGTTCTTGTTAGTTTAATCATATTTCTTGAAGTTTAAGATGGAAGAGTACTTATTTACATGCATAAGAAAACCATACGGCCTGCACGAATAAAGATAATGTGCCCAAAGCTGTCAATCATATGAAAGTTGCTAAATAATCTTAGGGATGGCAAGGGATACGGTTATGTGCACTCTGGACACCATTTAGCCTGATTAAATATGGTTTGGGAACCCTATAAATGGGTAAAATGAAAATCCATTTTGTGTTTGTGTAGTGAATTTAGGTTGCCTGTTATCCCAACCAACTGTTAATGATGAATATTGTAAGCAAATTTTAGTTTTAATATTTTATTTTTATTTCTCTATAGTTAATATGTTACTCGTTAAAGTTATGAATTGTTCACTATAATCATGTATTTCTAGTTACTTGAATTGATTTTTATTACTGATTAATAAAATGCATCAACTAATGTTCACTTAAATTTTAGTTTTGGAGTTGGGTGTGCAAATCATTGTCATCCATACTTGTGGTTCAAGTATTTAGTTGAGTATCTGTTAGGCTTGGGTACCTCAATTTGTGTTTGTTTTGAATAGTTCAAATTTAGGAGCCAGCTGCTGCCACCTCTAGTTACTATTTGTTGTGTCGAAAATCAAAATTCAAAATTCAAAATAAATGATTTAATAATTTCCTTTTTATCCCACCAATGGATAAAATCCATAGTATTACAAATCCATGGAAGGAATTTTATTTTTTAAATGATGAAATATCTCGTCATCTTAAATATA